TGCCAAACCAGGAAATCTAGACGCGCACTAGGAAAACTCTATATGGCAGCCCCATAATTTAAGCGTCGTATAGTTACTAGACGCGAAGAAAGCGTAAACAACCATTTTAGGAACACGACGCGACATACCATAATAGAATAACATAGAAGAGTCTAGAATGGACTAATATGGACTATTATACACGAGAAAAACATAGGACCAAGAACCTAAAAAAAGGTACCCTACCATAGAATTAAACTCTTAACACGAAACATAAAAAGTTAGAGTACCCGAACCGATAACTACTAGGCCACTAGTTCGGGTGCTCTGATGGAATTTATAGAGATAAACTAATTTATATACGGTGCCCACACTTAGGTAACTTAAGGAAAATTAGAATATAGAAACCGATAGTTATAAGCTAAGCGAGCGCATATATAATATCGTTAAGTTAAGAATTAAATTGCTAGAAACTAGCCGACGGGTATCTAAACGGTCTAAAAAGGACTAAAATGGATAAAAGCTAGGCAAACAGAGCCGGCGCGCACCACCTATAGTAGATCTAGAATATATAGAGCTAGGCATAGAGCTAAACCTATAGAGCTAGAACCATAGAGCTACTCCTCTATCTTATTATCCGTCCTAACCTCTAGTATAGTCCTCTCTAACCGCACGATATAGTAGCGGAGGACGACGACCTTAGCCTCTAGAGTAATAACCCGATCCGTTAGAGCCTGGAGGGAAGAGCCTTAAGCGCCGGAGCGTAGCGACTAGGTCTAAAGTTAGCTAACACGATCTAGAATAATCTAGAAGGGAATATATACCCTCTTACGAGGCGACTTAGAGGGAGAAATAGTAGACCTCTTACGAGATCCGTTAGTAGCGCGAGATAGACGGAGGGGGATAGAGCGAATCCTCTCTACGGCCTCTATGGCTAGGATAGACTCTCTAGAATAGGTAGCCTAGGCGCTAGGGATCTCGCGGCGGCTAGAAAAATTAATAGATGTTAAAAACAATTAACGTGCTCGTAACTTATACTTTAATAACCTCTAGGAAGAGCTTGTAGCGCTCCCTAAACTCCCTCTATATAGTAGGTAGGCGGCTATAAGGACCCCCGAGGGTCTCGCGGACGCGAAGGTCGTTATATATATCTTATATACGCATAGGAACCTAAGAATATATTAGCGCGGACTACTTTAGATTACACTAGATTAAGATAGCCTATTATACTTACCTATAGACAAGTCTTACTAGTCACGGTATAGCGGCGGTAGCGGGTAGGTAGAGTAAAGATAGGGCGTATAGGCCCGTCGCGGTTAGTAGAGTAGTAGCTGATACTAGAGTTAGAGCGAAAGAGATATTTAGAGCCGGCCGTATAGCCCTTAATACACTCATAGTATATCGAACCGTAGTTCGCCGTTTTCCTATGGCGTAAACCGCGACTACGTTTAGTATCCTCAGCGACCTAGGCCTCATTATTAGTAGGCTAGGGTTTAGAGTAAATATTAAGGTCCTAAAAGGACCTAGAGTAACTAAATCGGTCCATGTTAGACCGGAAGGAAGAGCGGCGAGGCGGCGGCGTGGGTAAGCGCGAGGGCTCGCGATTATCGTCTATGACGAGATCTTCTTCATTCTCTAGAGGAGGTAGAGTAGGCGGCGTGCGCTTTAGAGCGAGAGGAGAACCTACGACCACTTTATCCATAAGTTTAGTACTAGGATCACCTGGATTAGAGCGACTAGTGGCCACATTAGTAATAGAGGTAGTAATAGCAGCAGCCCTGGCTACTCTCTTCTCCGACTTAGAGCGCGCCTTTATGCTACCGCGATGGGTAGGCTTCTTAGCCGGCGTGGCCGGGGAGGAGGCGATACCTTTAGAGCGAGTCTTATGAGAGGAGGAGGTAGGCTTAGAGATAGGACTAGTATTAGACATCTATATATATACGTTAGCTGGAGATCTAAGAAAGGAATATTCGTCCACCCTTAACGGCGATTAACGAAGCTAAATTAGTAACCGTAATAACGCGAATGGGTTATATAGGACCGGTTCTAATAAGAATAGACCACTACAGACCCTTCTAAACCTAAACTAGGGAAGATAGTATATGAATTAACGACTTACCTTAAGAGCGAGGTGGATATACTAGAGAATAAAATCAAAGGCGAGCGAAGCTAAATATATACTCGACTAAAGTAGTAATTATATGTCCTAGGTAGTAGCCACGAAGCAAGGGATGAGCGCGTACATGAACTAGTAAAAGTAAACTAGAATCTCGAGTTCACCTATATTAAGGATGGTTATAACGTTATAGAAACTTAGTCACGGATATATAGGTACACGATAGATTATAGAGACTTAGGATTATATATACTTAAGTACTTCGGGGCGAAGCATAAAAAGAAGAAGGATATTATTAGGACGGGAACTATAATGGATCTATATGGACTATTCTAATCCATATAGCCACGTAGTGGCTAGAGCTAGGTTAAGTTAGCTGAGTTAAGCGATATTACTATATAAGTGGACCGCATAAACCGATTCCTGCTCGTTAGGAATCAACCTCGTATAAGAGTAAGATTACTCCATAAATACATTCCTATGTCTCTCTATGAACTATTAGACTGCTATCCCACGTCTTTACTCTTTATACTTATCTCCCGTGTATATACGTACTATCTACGTTAGAGAAGAGTAGAATACTTACTACTATTATAAAGACGCTAAGGCGTTAGTATCGTAAGATTTAACCTCGTGGTAATAGCTAGTACCTAAGGTACTTCCTTACGGATAACTCGGCGGCTAAGTAGCGCGTAATTTATAAAGCTTTTCCTAGTATTAAGGAGGGTATAATAAAGCTAATATAGTTCCTTTATATAGTATACTCTTAGTATATAATTAAGGAAAAGGTAAAGGATATAGATATATAGAGATTATTAAAATAGGCGATATATTAGTATACGTAAATTGGTTATAATAAGTCGCTTAATAAGGCGATAAATATTACTACGATACGTGCGTGTCTACGAGATCTAAAGTACCTAAATCCCTTAGAGATACTAGCGATTAAGAAGTAGGAGAGGGTAGTAGCGATAAGGGCGAGACTCGTAGATTTATAGAGAGATTCCGAGCGTTAATTCGAAGTTAAGTAAGCTATAAAAAGTAGTAATAGAAATTCGTCTATGCGTTCTACTACTAAGACGTCTACCAACGCTAAAAGGCAACTCTCTAGCTCTAAAAAGCCTAGCGCGAAGTGGGGGAAAATATCCTTAACGGTATCTATAGTATCTATTTATAACTCTATACTACTATTAACGACTAATATACGACCTTAAGATACTTAAAATGGCCTAAATCTACGAGTAGAAGGTAAACGTCGTTTAAAAAAGCTACTATTTAACTTACCTAAGTATATATAGGTATATTAGACGCTAAAGAAGTATCTATAGGCGATATTTACACGGTAATACTTACCTATATTACTTTAGATTACGACCACGAATATTATTAAAGCCTAGCACTCTATAATTAAAGCACGTACCCTAGCGATAAAGAAGATAATGGCGAAGTTCTCTATTACTAGCCTTATTCTAGCGCTCGATTAGTAAGTTAAAAGTTAGGATATAAGGAGTAGAAAACGAGTAACTAAGTTCTATACTAAAACACTTAGCTTAAGTCGTTAATATCTAGGCTTAGAAGACTTTCCTCTACTATTTTAGAAGCTTCTAGGTATAGAGATTTAATTCGCTTAACGTAAAGTTAATAACGGTATAGCGTTAAAGCCGTAGAGAGACTCTATTAACTATAACTACCTTTTTTTTAGAAGGTATATCCTACCCTATCGCTACCTCTAGTACCGCTATATACTATTTAGGGATATACTTAACGGAGACGTACTCTACGGCTTTAGTCTTAAGTTTAAAGAAGCCGGGTATAACGTATATAAGACACTTAGTTAAAGAGATAAGAATAGTAATATCGAGGAGATGGCTACGAGCTTAGCGCGACGAGAAACTCGCAATATACTCTAAGTACGTAAGATAATTAATAAACTAAGGGCTATCTAGTATAATCTACTTAAAGATTCGCGTTAGTTTAAGCCTAATTAGAGTAATAGAATAAGACTAGACTAGATAAATAGTCTATCTATAGCTATAGGTAAACTTACTTAGGTATCTACTCGAGATCTCCTTAATAAGGATAAGTTTAATAGAATATTAGATAAGGTTTAGGGCGCTAGTACCCTTATATCTAGTGATAGTAATTCTAAGGTTAACGACTTAATACCATAGATTAAGTATACTAAGGCGGCTAATTATATTATTAATAAAGGCTCTAAAGTAGTTACTCGTGTATAACTTTCTAAAGTAGACGGCGATCTCTCGAATAAGACTACTTAGGATATTCTTATCGATAATCTACCTCCCCCGGTATTTAACTATAACCTAGAATTATACTAATTTTAGAATAGAATGTAAGACCTAGGCGAAGGTAATAGTAATAAGGTTGGCGCTAAGAACACTTATAATAGTAATAGCAACTATGACGTTAACAATAACGTTATAATTACTAGCGGTAATGAATTATACGAGTAGATAGACTCAATACTTAATACCACGGATAATAATAGTATAGACGAATTAAGGAGTCACGACGCGTCAAGAAAGTAAATAAATGAAGATAATGAAGATAAATAAAGACAAATAAGTGTGGTATGTACTCGGTAAGTCTCGGGTATCCCTCGATCCGAACGCCCCATATAAAATCATATAGAGCGTCTGGATCTGCTGACCTGCTTAGTCTGTACGTTACATTCCGTACGCAGACGTTACATTTTGTACGTATAAATACGCATTTATACGCTGGACGCTTGAGGAACCCTCGCGTAGCGGGATTGGATGGTAGGATCCGATCTCTACAAATGCTTGGCACGGCGCGGATACAGCCTTACTCCTACGGTACAATATTGAACAACCCAAGATACATCACTCAACCTCTCATGTGGTAAGTGTCCGGCTGATTGAGTATGGTGTCTACCCATGAGGAAGACATCGAACTTCAACGGGCTTCTGGCTCTTATCTTCTTGAGCTGAGGACTCTCTTGGGCCGCTGTCTTTGGAAGAAGTCCCAATCAAACTCGCATACAATCTCGGTCCACCATAGCATCAAGGAACGAGACTTGAACCGAGTCCTTGCTTTAGTATGACTCACGAATGGAATGCTCGAGACACTATTTCATACGGACTACTGCTGATCCCTGGTAGATAAGCCCATTCCAGGAAGACCCCCAATTACTAGACTCGCACCTGAAGTATCTTATTCCGCCATTGGTCGAAGCATACCTGCTGTATCTACAGTACAGCCCTAGACATAAGCAAGTCTCTCAACAGGTGCAGCTTTCCAGTGCCATAGGACTGATCATCGATGTGTTCTGTAAAGTACGCGGCCAGAAAGTCATTGTTGGTTTTCTGAACAACGAACCACGATATTTAGAAACCATTCTATCGCAGCTCGAAATTTTGAGCCACGATGACGATCGAGCTTCAGACATAACGACTGCATCCGCGTGGCAAGAGCGGTATGTTCTTCTGCTTTGGCTGTCTCATTTGATGCTGGCTCCATTCGACTTGGCGACTATCTCCTCCACTGCCATTACTCAAGAGAAAACATCACTAGATCATCCAAAACTGCCGCAAACACTCTCTAGTGTACCTCTCCGTGTTCTCCCATTATGTATCAAGTATATGAGCTCTGCGACAAAAGAGCGTAATGCGGCAAGCAGACTTCTCGTTCGACTCATCTTGAGACCAGATATGCGTAAGATCGGGCTCCTGCGCTCGATGATCCAGTGGTCGCTTGATTTCTTCACACATTCATCGAGCGAAGTCTCAGCGATTCATGGCTACCTTGGCGTACTCACATTCTTTAGCCAACTGCTCTCTTCTGGTACTGCCGAAGAAATTGGAACGTTCATTCCCGCGCTATACCAGACCAGCCAGAATGTCCTCGATTCGCCTCATCTGTCCGCTGTCCGAGCATCTGCTGTAGCCAGAAAGCTACTCATCAAGTGTTTTCGCACAATCGTCGTTCATGGGGTGCAGAACGAGGCTATGCTTCCAGGTATCGACCTCTCTGCGATCCTGGAAGAGGTTATCGATCACCTGCTCCAAGCTCTGGCTGATGGAGATACTCCGGTGAGGCTAGCAGCAAGTAAAGCTCTGAGTACAATCACCCTAAAACTCGACCCTGTACTTGCCGAGGAGGTCGTTGAGGCAGTCATTGGATCTCTTGCAGAGGACGTGCTTTGGCATGATTCAGAAAGGGACCTCAGCGCAGTCAACCCCCTGAGATGGCATGGCCTCACCTTGACGCTTGCACATTTGCTCTATCGGAAAGCACCGCCAACCTCCCAGCTTGCGGATATCCTCAATGCTCTACTCCTGGCGCTAAATTTCGAGCAACGGTCGTCGACCGGAAGCTCGATTGGGACGAATGTAAGAGACGCTGCGTGCTTTGGAATCTGGGCAATGTCACGGAGATATGCAGCTTCAGACTTATCTGGTGTGCGCACAGTCGACATCAAGGCGGCCGATATAAGGAAACACGGCAACATATCCGTCGTCCAGTTCCTTGCTATCGAGCTTCTAGTCGCAGCATGCCTCGACCCTGCTGGCAACATCCGGCGAGGATCCTCTGCTGCGCTGCAAGAATTGGTCGGTCGACATCCAGACACCATCATCCAGGGCATACCATTAGTCCAGATCGTTGACTTTCATGCTGTTGGCCTCCGCGACCGTGCTTTGCGTACTGTAGCCATACAAGCAGCCAGACTTGATGTTCTTTATTGGCAGGGACTTTATGATAATTTCTTGGGGTGGCGTGGGGTCGGATCTGTTGATGCATCTTCTCGTATTTCAAGTTCGGTTGGAATTGCTTCTTTGAGCTCATTCATGGATATTGAGACGGTAGCATCGATGTTCCAACAGGTCAAGTGGCAGCTGTTGGTACTGCCAAAAAGAGATGTGGAAGGGCGTCACGGTACTATGATGACTCTGTCCGCAATAATTGACAGGTGTGTCATGCAACACGAAGGGTGCGTCGCAGTGGTGAAGGGTGTTCAAGCACTGCAAAGAGGTATGGATGATCTCCGCCGATTGTCGCCTTGGGACATTCTCAGTAGCCTGAAGCTGCAAGAGAAAGACTTCAGCTCGACCATCTCCCGTCCTGAGCTTACCGCTTTTGCCGTTTGCTCTTTAATTTCCTCCATGGCGAAGTTCTCACACGTCATCTATGGACAGCAGCCAAACCTAGACTTAGATGCCCGCACCCTCCAGCGCCATCTGAACTGGTGCCTTCGACGAGACGAGAAAGACATCCTGGGGATGGCTCCAAGCGCAGTCGAGAACGTTCTACTTGCAACTATCAGCGACCTGGCTCGAGTCACCACGGAATGGCTAACAGTTCTCAAGCAAGGCGCATCCTATTCCGGTGCAAAAGGTGCTGGATATACATTAGCCCTCGGCTCAGCATACCACGTCCTATCCACAGACAACCTCTCAACCACATCAGATCTCCCGCAACAAATCATTCAAGTCCTCACCGAGCGATGCACCCCAAAAGTCGACATCGAAGCCCGCTGCACCGCCCTCAAAAGTCTCCAGCTCACCTTCGCAGACGTAGCATCCTCGACAAGCAAAGACCGCGAAGATCAGATCTCTAAGATAGCTCAAGCCCTACATACCGCTCTCAATGACTACACGATCAACGAGCGCGGCGACGTCGGTTCTCTCGTCCGTCTCGAAGCTCTCTGCGCCACAGAATCGGCCTGGCGATGTACATTCCTCGACTCACCCGCCTCCTCGCCGCTCTACGACTCCGTCGTCCGTCTATCTCTCGAAAAATTGGACAGGATCCGCATGCGTGCAGCTCAGGCTCTCGCTCTGGTCGACGGCGGGTCCTCATATATGTACGGCCCTTCCTTTTTGCACAGCATGAACTCCTTACTAAGAACCCCAGCTCCCAGATCGTCACCACCGAAGGCGTGTCCTCGTATGCATACTTCAAAGCATTTCTTGCTCTCCTGCAATCTAACGTCTCGAAACGTTTCAAATCCGCCATCCTCGAAGGCTATGTCTCAGCAATGGGCATGGCGTCCGAGTCTGTCGTGCAGGCATCCCGCATGGCGCTCATCGCCACTCTGACCGACTTCCCCGCATCCAGCACGTCCAGTCCAGACACGTTCGCATTGCTCGAATTCGGTGACTCTCTAGTGGACGTCTATCAGCAGCATGTGAGTAACGACAGAGTTCTTCTCCCGCTGATGGAGAGTCTGACATTCTTGTTCGACATGCGTGTCATGTGTCGCCTTGCCAGTACGGAGTTTAAGTGGCGTACGCTACTTAGCTTGGTACAGAAGAGTCACTTCAAGTCGACGCAAATGCATAAGCTGTGTTTGGCTTTGGAGCTGTATCGTGGGCTTGCAGAGGTTGAGAGTATTAGGGCATTAGTGCTGATTAAGATAAAGAGCATGCTTGTCCATCCGTTTCCTAAGGTACGTGCCTTGCATTATAAGGCCTAATAGACTCGCTGATAATGTTCCTAGATTCGGGTTGCAGCCGCTGAGGCTCTCTACTGCATCACCCAGAACGGTGAGCTCGAGAAATATGACTGGTCACAGTCTCCAGTACGATTAAAAACAATTGTCGAGAAAATAAATGCCGTTTGATGGTGGCATAGATCTGATCAAGGAGCTTACGAGGTACTAAGGGAAATCGCTCCAAAAAATCGTTGACAAGACCAGATCGACCACCTCGTAGCCTATATCTAAGCAGCTTTCTTAGGAATCTCTGAGGTCTGCTTGATACTGTGCTGACTGCTTGGGGTTATCGAATCATTGATGGCAGCGTGCTGCTCGACCATGGTCCAATCACCTATCTGTTCGTCAAAGAATTGGTCCAGGTCCAAACCGATCATCTCCGCCTCTTCACTAACCCTCAGATTCATGCCCGGGATGTACTTCAAGATATAAAGTAGTATGCATGAAACCGTGAAAGCATAGGCACCAATTGCAACAATCTCCGCGAGCTGACGTCCAACCTGTATACCGACACCATCCATAGCGCCCGAGTACCCAGTAGATGTACCGTCGAGTGCGCCCACCCATTGTTGGGCGAATATCCCAGTCAAGAAGGAACCAATCATTCCACCGATACCGTGAAGTTTGAAAACATCCATACCTTCATCAATTCCAATCCACTTGTTCAGGTTCTTGACCGAGTTGCAGGCTACCGCAGTGATAAAACCAAGCAATGCAGAAGTCCATAGTGATGTGAATCCTGCAGCAGGCGTAATCCCAATCAATCCAGCGATGGCTCCTTCACAAGCACCAACGACGGAGAACTTTCCCCCTGTCCGAATAAAGTCGATGATGACCCAGCCGAGAACACCAGTTGATGCAGCAGTATTTGTATTGAAGGCCGCATACATGGAACGTACAGTACCGTTCAGTGCGGAACCTCCGTTGAAGCCAAACCACCCAAACCAGATCAATACGGTACCCAGGAAAACTAGTGTGGTATTGTGAGGCTTGTGATGGGATTTCTCGCCGTGGTGCTTGCGCTTGCCAAGGACAAACGCATATGCGAGAGCAGACCAGCCGCTGGCTATATGTACTGGACCACCTCCAGCATAATCGAGAGATGGAAGGTTATAGAGCCATCCGTTCGAGTTCCAGGTCCAGCACGCAATCGGACAGTATACGATAGTAGCCCATAAGAAAGAGAAGACGAGGGAGGGGACGATGCGGCCACGCTCGAACGCTCCACCGATAACGATCTGTACCGTACAGGCGCAGAAGAACATCTGGTAGAGGCAGAACACTACTTCGGGGATATAGGCCGACCCAGGCGAAGGAGCCACACCGACACCCATCAAACCAAAGTTCTTCAGGTCGCCGATGAAGGAATTTCCGGTCCGCGAAAAGGCAAGCGAATAGCCCCAGAACATCCACTGAAAGGTGGTCCTGCACCAGCGAATCAGTCCAGGCTTTCGTTCCTCGACATACATGACTTACACTGAAGCAACCAATAGTGACTGGAACAAAAGGGCGAGAGACGACTTGCGACGTGCTAGACCTCCATAGAGGAGACCAATGCCAGGGATGATGAGCCATACAATGAATGCACAGAAGACGAGATAGGTATAGTGAAACTCCTGGAGAGCATACGGGTCATTGACATTGACTTCCAGCGGATTTCCGCCACTGGGAGCAGATTCATCGTACTCTGGCTGCACATCACAATACCGTCAGTCAATCAGCTCACATGAAGAGGTCGGGAAAACGCACAGGAGACGGCTCGAGGCCGCCAACAGCGATTGTAGCCATGTGACCTCTCAGATCCGTTGAAGTTACCGCGGTGTTCGAGAAACTCAACAGCAAGGAAGTTAACGAAGGAAGGTAATGAACAGCTTGGAAAGGATTTCGATGGCAGTCGTCGGCGCTCCTTCCTCTTATATGTACCCGGGAAGCCACGACACGACAGTCACCCATTAAAGGGTGACCCTGTCCCCTGTCGCTCGCATCCTTCACTCGTTAAACGTGCGCTGGATATGGAACATTATTCCCATCCATGTTCATTGGCAAGCCCTCATCATTGGCGTCCTAAAGCCATTCAACTCCAACCAACACCGGTTCAGATGGCGCAAGTGTACCCACAGTGGTGTGCCGTTTTCAAGTTCTGCGCCACCGTGTGGTTACGTTCTTCAGCCTGTCTAACGGGTCCTCATGGGGGGATCGGTGTTTGGGCGATTTGAGGGCTTTGGAGAAGTCGAATGAAGGATACACGAGCGGTGCATAGTTGCTATCGAATTATTGCAGGGTCACGTTCAATCTGACTTGATTCTTCTGATTTTTCTTGCCAAAGGTTCACAAGGAATGTCAGCCTTGCGTGCAGCACTCTCTCTGTGCCCCCTCATGCTTTTCATGTCCCCTGCAACTTAGCACAACCGCACTCTCAATTCTGTGCATGAAAACCGCACACGCCCGTCTTCAGCATACCTACGTGTGATGGAAAGCATGCCGGATTCGTAGCAATCCCAGTACTGTTGATAACAACCATCGGAGCCCTTGGCTAGAAACGGCACGCGGACCCACCCATGAGACGGGCAAGCGGCTGTCATCCGCGTGTCAGGGCCCGGACCGATACTGTATGCGTTATGGTGACCGCTCAAGGGGGCCTGCCAAAGTTGATGGAAAGACCCCAAGGTATGGAATGGGTTTCTTAGGTGGCCGGCATGGGATGTATGTCCATCTGGGCGTCGGCATGCTTATCTGATCTGTTGTGTAGTTGGCTTTGCATGTAGAGATAGGCGTAACAAATCTTGCAGGTGAGTTGTTGAGGTAGTGTGGCTTGCGCACAGAGGGTATCGTTAATATCAAGATACAGAAAGTACGGCCATCATATATCAGAGATCTATGCTGATGTATTCGTCGTCAGTCGGCGTCAAAGACATTACCTGGTCATCAGGATGTTTCTCATTGCGCCGAGCCGCTTGCACGAGCAATCTATGTGTCACTATGCATGGTATTGATACATAACAAATCCGTATGAACGAATCTTGGGTATCACTTGAGCTCTTTCAACATCAAGTAGATACGTGGATCAGAAAAACCCTTGTTCCTGCCCCTGCGAGCTATATTGCTGTCCAAACCCAGGGACTTCTTCACCATCCAGATTCACAAACTGCTCTAGGCCTTGTTGCTGTGACTGTGACTGTGACTGTGATTGTGATTGCGGCTCGTAATTTTGCGGTTGCGTCTGCTGTTGTTGTGTCCTTTGACTCTGCGCGGGCGGATCGATGCCACTTGCAAATACCGTATGCGCCGGTATACTCTTTCCAAATGCGTCTTTTCTGTCAGCACAACGTATTCCTGGATTATCTTGGCTATTGTATAGAATCGTTGAGTCTCCTCTGGAGTTCAAGAACCCGTTTTGCTCTGTCACTTGACCGTTTGCTAGTTCCTGTTGGAGCTGACTGTTGTTTTGCGACAACAAAGGCAATAAATATGAGTCTTCGTACCATCGGCCCTTGATTTGGTTGATAGATAGGCGGGAATCGTTTTGGATGAGCTTCCAGTAGCTTTTACCACGCTTCGCGGTGTTCGTAATACCATTTCGCCATTTTAGGTCTTCGCGCATGCGTATGGGGATGTTGCGATTTTCAGGCGGCTCTTGAGATGTTGCACTGAGAGCCACGAGAGAGTATAAGTCTCCCACAAGTGTATAGGTTGATTGGTTTTTGGTCACTCGCTCGATAATCTCTGTTAGCGCCATGACGGTATTGCCGGGGGCAATACGCAGTCGGAGAGAGTCCCCGAGCCAGATCTTTTCGCCCCCTAGAAAGATACAGTTCCAACGTTTCTCTTCTACTCCTCCTGAAGTAGTACGTTTCAGAGGTTCAGTCAAAGTGAAGGTGTCTTCGACGCTTTTCGCCGCAAGAATACTGGCATCTACCTCGACCTCACCCGGGCCATATTTGCCTTCTGAGACACCCACCCAGTCGATGCTGTGATAAGGTACAATGCGAATGGGCTGATCGTGGATGGATTGGTGTGTGAGCGGAGGAGGACTCCACGCTAGCCAGGGTCGCAGATGGCTTTCGTCTGTTATAATTGCTAATGGAGGATTGTGGAGGGGATAAGATAGTGGCTGAATTACATAATGACGAGCTTCTTGCTGTTGCTCATTCTTCGTCCTATATCGGCGAGTGATCACTCCGAGGGCCCACGCCTGGCCACGTTGGAACCAGACTATTTCAGCGGTACGATTGTGGAACTTGTTGAACGATGTGTCAATCTGCTGGTCTATCGAGCGGGGAGTTGGGAGCTGTGACGGCGCTGGAACAGTGGGAGGAGTAGTTGCCAACTGTGGCACAGGGGACTGTTTGCGCACTAGAGACGGCAGATTGGATAAAGATCGATTTGATGATTCATTTATGGTTCCCTGTGGTGGCAAAATGTCTTTTGGCTCTGGCATCACCTCGGGCTCTTCTTTATTGATGGGTGACTGCGCGGCCTGCGGAGCCTTCTTCTCTTCAATCTCTTCGGGGCAGCATAGCTTGCACGAGCAATTATCGGTGTTACCATTGACATCTGTACAAAGCCAAAGCAGGTGAGGGAAAAAGTCTGCCGGGCTCCGAAAGCGTTTCTTCGGACCCATCGGATGGCCATAAAGGTACGCGTCTTGCCGGTCATGTCCTCCTCCCGCATGATTCTTCTTTGGAGCTTCTCCATCTGTCGTTCGAGATTTTATGTGTTCATAGAGACGGTAGTTATCAGGAAGCGCGACGAGAATGCTTGTGGTTTGTCTTTCTGTGCTGGTCAGTGATGACATGGAAGCGGGCAAAAAGACAATGTGTTACCCTGGTGTAGCTTGTCTTGCCCAATCTGCCTGACAAGCATACCTGCAAGCTTCCTCCTCCAATCAATATGTTTTGTTTCTTCCGCGCCAATCTCGCGATAGTAGTCGGAAATTCCTTTGTTGTTCGGTGTGCTGTCGAGCTGCTCAGCTGATGGGCCATTCCGGTCGCGTAGTCTGCCATTCTTGCCTGAAACTTCCAGCTTCCCATCCGAACGCCGCACGTAAATGGGATAGAAGCGTGTCATTGTTGAAGCTAGGTCAGGCGCATAGACATGACTGAAGCGACGATGGGGTAGAGATGCTGGCGCAGAATGAGCGGTTGGGGTGGAATGAAGATACGGCCTTGGAAGATGGTGAGGTGTCCGTGCGCTCGGAGATTCGGATTTAGTTCTAGAACCTTAAGGCGTATAATTTGACGCGTCAAAGACGCGACTTCTTACTAGGCAAGGTTGAGTGACAGGCTTCCGAAGGTCATATTTTCAGTAACTGTTCATTTATCCGCGAACGTTGCTTTACGTACCCCATGGAAGTCAGACACATCACTCACATTTGATCGCCTGATAGGCGCCTTTGTTCACTTGAGAAGTCGTAAGAAGCACAGGGGTACGTACCGGCGTCACACGTTTCGCCTGTTCACTTGAACGTATTGCTAAGAGTCCTTGCAGCGTATCCCATTGTCCCGCCAAATCGGTCAAACAATGAACAAAATGGCAAATCCGCAACCGTCACCAATCGCAGCCATGCCGCCGAAGCGACGCCAGACGCACGCTTTAGATCTACTAGCACAATTCAGCTCGGTCGGGAGCCATCCATCTGCAACACAAATTCGGAGATTCTCCCACGTTGAGATACCCTCAAAAACCCCCACATCAGCACTGCAACGTCCATCATATCCTTTGATCGAGAGGAAGTCGTCGAGAGTCGGTACACGTCTATCCAAAATTCGTCGTGCGCAAGACCATGTGAAAAAGGCTCTCAAACTAGAACGCTATCGCAAGGATCTTAGCAAGGCTAAAAGACGCAAGACTAAAACAATCCTAATATCTGATACAATGAGGCCGAAACGTACGAAGCATGGCATGGTCGCCAAGGCCAACACTGCTCGAAACCGTGTACGTCAAGACATAGAAATGAACACGATCAAAAGACGAGACCAGTTCCTGCTAGAACACCAGAGCTACTTCAAGCCGCTATTGCCACACAGCAATTACATAACAAAGCTTTCACACACGGCTGGCGGCAACGCACCTGATACATTCACCTACGAAGAGCTGGACAAACAGCCTGCAGGCCTTACAGCAACACTGAAGCCATATCAATTGACGGGTCTATCGTTCTTAGTCTATCTATATCGCAACGGTATGAACGGGATCCTTGGTGATGAGATGGGCCTCGGGAAAACCTTACAAACAATCGCCCTGATGCAATTCATTGAAAATGAACACCCCGTCAACCATCTCGAAGAAAGAAGACCTTATCTTGTGATATGTCCTCTTAGTGTGTTGTCCTCGTGGATATCAGAGGTGCGAAAATGGGCACCGAAGCTTAAGATCATACAGTTGCATGGAACGGCAGAGGAGCGCATGTCGCTTAAGAGGGTTGCTACAGGGCTCGACGATCGCTTCGGCAACGAGATCGCAAAGTCTCGTAAAGCTTTGAAACTTGACGGCGAGCAGATCGGAGAATTCGACATTATTGTTACCACGTACGATATCTTCCTTAGACAAAAATCGTGGTTCCAAACATCGTTTGTATGGCGCTACGTGATCCTTGACGAAGGACACAAAATCAAGAACAACAAAACGATTATCGCTGGCGCACTCCAAACCCTGAAGGCCGAGTACAGACTCATACTGACTGGTACACCACTACAGAACAATTTGACAGAGCTCTGGGCATTACTTCACTGGCTCTATCCGGACGTCTTTGTCGACAGAACTGCAGACTTGTTCCGTGACGCCTTTGATCTATCCAAAGGGAATGTCAGCACGCAAGTCATGGACCACGCAAGAAGACTATTGGAAGTTATTATGCTCCGAAGGTTGAAAAACTCACCAGGAGTCAATCTAGGCATACCTCCAAAAACAGAAGTGCTACTCTATGTACCACTAACACCCATGCAAAAGTTTTGGTATATGCGACTTCTTACCAAGGCCGGTGATGCCATACTAGACGATCTCTTTTCCGACGTGAAACAAGAAGAAGAAAAGGCTTTGCGGGTTGAGATATTGGAGCAAGAAAGATTAACAAAGGTTGAGCTATTATTGCAAGCAAGAGAATCACATAGTGAAGCGGCCCATCAGCGTAGTGCTTTCGACTATGGCTGGGGAGAAAGCCGAGAAATTATGGAAACTGCTCTGGAACTAGAGAAAGCCGAGCAAGAAGCTACCTCAACTAAGTCAACTTGGACGAGATTAATGAACCTCATCATGCAGCTTCGCAAATGCTGCACACACCCCTATCAATTGCCGAACGCTGCGCCTGATGGCTACTTGGTAGGAGAACATATCGTGCTGGCTTCAGGCAAGTTCATTGTCTTACGGAAGCTGCTTCAACATCTTGTTTTTGAGAAACGGAAGAAGGTGTTGATTTTCTCAGGCTTCCTAGGTGTGCTCAAGTGCGTGGAGGATGTCCTTGCTTTCATGGGCTTCCGAGATGGAGCGGAGCACAACTACTTAACCTTGGACGGCAGTACTTCACGAGCCCGTCGAGATTTGGCGATACGATTATTCAATACGACGCCGAACCATAATGTCATACTGATATCGACGCGCGCTGGCGGACTAGGCATCAATCTGGCCACCGCGACCGAAGTTATTTTTCTCGATCAGGACTGGAATCCCCAAGCAGACATACAAGCCGAAGCTAGGGCCCACAGAATTGGACAGACACAGCCAGTAACAGTCTATAAAATCTGCACAGCTGGCACAGTCGAAGAGCAAATGATGGGTAGAATTCGAAAGAAGCTTTACCTATCTGCTAAGATTACAGAGTCAATGCAGAGCATTCACGGCCGATTGACGTCAAAGAATACACATGGACAAGTAGCGTCAGACGCAATGCCACAACTAAGCATGTCAGAGCTCAAATCTTTGCTTCGCAGAGGCGCTCAGACCTTGACTCGTCCACAGGTTGACGTAAACGAAATGCTTTCGTGGGACGTTGAAACAATGCTTGATAAATGTCGAGACCAACCTGTTGATTTCCACAACATGGATAATGCATCAAGTAGACCAGACACGGATGAAGAGAAATGGCTCTCGGAGATGGAGAAGGTCAAGACGGCTGTATATGAAGGCAAGCATTTTCAACAACAGGTGACGGACAAAGAAATCGATGCTGTTCTGCCACCAGGGATTACGAGAGCGGACAGACGCGAAGGCAAAAACACTACTGTTACGGTCGACGGGTGGGAGGTTAGTAAAGAGAGCATAGATTGCGGAGATTGGGAAGCGGTGCCAACTCTCGCAGGAAAGGACCCACGCCTTGCAGAGCCAGTACGCGAAAAAAAACCTGAAATTGAGCATGAATCCATCTGTCACATATGTTGGGACGGTGGCGAACTACACTGCTGTGTTGGCTGCCCGCGGGCGTACCACGCTGAGTGCCTGGACGAGGTGGACCTTGCCGCCATGACCAGACCATTTGGAGCCACTTCTTGTCCGCAACACGTCTGTACTCATTGTTCCAGAAAAGCTTACATGGCGGGTGGTATGGTGTTTCGCTGCAGATTCTGCGAAAATGCGTTTTGTGAAGATTGTCTAGACTGGGACAAAACGAAACTCATTGGCAGCAATCTTCCTGAATTTGAGATGCTAGGCTTTGCAGCTGTTACCCAGGCCTACTACATCAGCTGCCAGATCTGTACTGAGCGTTGTGAGACGGACGATCAGTATCGTGCCTTTGTTGAAAACGAGACTACAAGGATCAGAATAGAGTACGAAGAATGGCTGGAATCGCGGAATATCGATGGCTCTCAATCGGCAGTCTTCGTAACCGACCCTTCTGATTCCAGCTCCACTCAGGAGAAAGCTGGTAACAGAGTGCCTGGATTCGACACTTCATCTTCGCAAACACCGACCGTATTCGACTCCGCTGCCCGAACACCCTTGTATATTAGCATAGACTCACGCCAAACAGGCATCAAACGTGGCATTGAGGTAGACGACCTCGACGAAGCACTCTTAATCCCGGAGAAGCGCAAAAAGTCCCGTGCGTTGGGATCGTTCGGGCTCGATATCTTGTCTTTCTTCCGCGATCCCACTTAGTCAGGCACGCACCGTTCTCGAATCATGAAGGCCAGTGTGTATTCAGTCGTGCCATGGGTTTACTTTCATTTTCTTGACATATTAGCAAGCATATACCACTGGAGTTGACAGGTGGTGAGTAGTGGGGGCTAATTGGATCAACAGATCTCGTGGCGCTGGCTGTGCGTCTTCGGCGATACCTCAAACATCGGGATTGGGATATATCATAGCACGTATCGTGCCATTGACTTACGGATCGGCTGTTGGAACAAAGTGCCTGAATAGATCTATAAGCACAACGAAGCAGGAGTTAATATGCTAGGTGACAGATCCCCATACAGTCGGCTGACTATGTCCCCAGTAGAGAGCAAAGTCTTGCATGTTGCCGTATACTATTAGTCAGTCTAAGCTAGAAAATACAGATCCATGGAAGAGCGTGGATAGTGGATTTCCCCAGCTTTCGACTCATTAGTCCCTTGTTCATCCAGACACCGGTCGACAGTAATGAAAAGAATATCTCCAGCCTCCACGCAAGGTATCATATCCGCGACAGTTCTCCTAATAGAGATGATCTTATCGCTAGCGCAAAAGCAGCTAGCATATCGCATACGGACTTGTATTTTGACACCAGAGATGTGCTAAAGGACAAACTGCTTATAAACACGCCCAATTGTCCTAGACATTTCTGATATCCACAAGACAAAGTCGAGAACGCCATCGGCCTAGAATGCACATGAAAGCATCCATGTTCCATGTTCCGTGTGGGTGATTAGCTCCCATCAAGACCCCATCGTGTTGCATATATCAAAAGTTGCTGAAATGTACCTCCATCGCTTATGCCCTTTTCTTCATTGTCTGCTCTACGCTTCCTAAAAATGACAGAATTTCAGTGTGTTCCTGGAGACCCATCCACGACGTCTCTTAACTCATTGGCAATTTCGTTAAGCACAGTACGGATGGGCTCTTCCACTTGCGTGATCACATCTTCCAACTTGCATATGATGGAGGAGATGCGCCGACAGATAGCCGGCCATTCGTTTCAGCTTCATCGGTGGAAACAGACATTTCGATCTCCGGGTCTTCAGAGGACGAAACACGGACTGCCTTTCTCTTGCGTCCTGGGGATTCGCTTGAAGAACTGACACTGTCGACCCTTTTCATCTTATTGGGCACGATGGGAGGAACTTCTCTAGGGTGAAATCCCGTAGTCTCTTTCGCTCTATTCATGCTGCTCACGAGTTCGAAAAGCAACACAAGGCTGCTAGCGGTATTTCGGGTTTCCTTTCGGCACGTCTTATGAAGTACTAGCCAGGGAAAAGCTCATATTTTCCGGAGAATTGACCGTAGACTGGCTGTTACCCGCAATTACATCACACGACTTTCAGCTCTTCCAGTAGATCCTTGAATTCGAATGCCATGCTAGCGGCAGCCTTGGTGGATCTGTGAAGCTAGTCGTCGAATATTTCCAATGGCACAGGTCCTCTTCTCAAGTGTCACAGCTTCCGAGCAGAAAGACATTCAGTATTCTGTATTCTAGGTCTCGAATGAGATACTCTTTAGATACTGCAACATGCACTTTCTTCCGCACTTTCTTCTGTGCTGCCTTCTGCTCGTCTTCTGCTGCAGCCCTTCCCGGGGTTAGCCTGCGGCTTTGCAAACTCCCGAATTTCTAGGGTCATCTTTGAGATGTTTGCGCAGCTCCTTGTCAGACCTTAACCATGTATCGATTGATTGCCTCCCCTTCACTTGCAACGCGTTGTCGCTGACCGGGTTCCTTCTTGGTTTCTGAGCGAGGGTACCGAAGGTTGATTTACTCTTTTCTGATCTCATCGCTCCAACTCCTTCATAGTCATTCAGAAGAGTCATATGAGTTGCCTAGCACCTCCTTCACCTTGCCATTATGTGCTCCTGTCCAAGTTACAGGACCCGTAGGGTGGATCATCGTACGATACTCGCAGTCGCTGGTCACGTCAGCTCAAGATGCAAAGCGCTTATATGGTAAGTAGTTGACCTGGTTTGGTTCAGAATGTTTCAGTCTGTAAGGCTAGACCTCTGCTAGACCTGTACCTTTTCTTCAATTGAAGAACTGGCTGTCACTCCCTCTTCATCGAAGCACAGGAGATCTTTGCCTGACTTTCACATCATTTGAATTTAGCTAGCTCTCAGTCAATACAAATATCCACGAGTAACTCTTTCTCAATGTCAGTGTGATTTCGAATTGTGTGCGCAGCGTAGAGCTGAATTTTCAATGGGCTAATCCTAAGCTGAAACTGTCGTGTTGATGTATCACTTGTTTGTGGCTCCCGGCTCGAAATACGGATCTTATGAGCGATTTCTTGCCATAACGGTCTTCGGTGCAGAAGGTCGATTTCAAAATCCATTTTTTTATCTTAGCTCGAGATAGCCGGGGGTGTAGGTAGTTTCTTGGCTGTGCGCATGCGACTCTGAGTGTATGGTTGCGTCTGATACTGCCGTAAAGGTTTGGCGATTGAGTCAAATGTCTTTCAATAAATTAGAAGACGCGTCTGCGCCTGTGCGAGACCATAACTCACTTCTTGTGCCTCTGTGAATGGATAATGAACAGTAGCAGTTGTCTGTAGACAGATATCGATCTTGGTACTCTTCGCAGGCCTGCTGGACACATTTCATGCGTCATAAGAAAGGCCGATGGCAGAGCTCTCAGATTGGAGCGATCGTACAGGTTGAGCTAGAAGCTTGGAAACAGCCTCCTGAAGACTTCCTTCCGGGGATGAAATGCCAAGACCATCGAATGTAGACTAGGTACAGATATTGTTTTGGCTGCTTTCCATAGCACGAATCATTTTCTCCAAGTTCACGACAGGCTCAACATGTCACTATTCGTCTCCATCTTGCTGTATTGGGTCGGATACAGCAAGATACATCCGTGAAGGTCCGCAAATACAGCCGCAGCTACGAGAAATTTACCTCCCTCAGACTCACCTCCGAACAGACAGCCAAACTCAAACCTGATACCTCGAGGACACACATGAATGCTTCTTTCTCCAGAACCAACCATCTCATCGCCAATATAAACGACAAGGAAAGACGTACGCGTAACCTAATCGCTAGAAATACGAAGCAAGTGCATGGAATCCTATGAACCTAGTAGCTCAACTACCATCTCCCTAGTCGTTATGAGACAGGAAAACTAAGCTAGCAAGCTGAAGCGAAAAAGAACGAAAAATTTTCAATGCATACGCTGCGCACGAACGACTACATACCAGATAATGAAACAGTGGCGGTGCTCTGGAAGCTAAGGGACTAATAAGCTACCAGACAAGACTAAGTTCTAATTGAGAGCATTATTTATCCTGGAAATCGAAGTAGAAGTCAAGATAAAAGATAAAAGAAGGAGCTTGAAATATACGGAGTGTAGAAGATAGATAAGAATACACCGGAGAGAAGAGAAGCTCATATTTCTTTGATTATTACTGCTGGGGATCCATAATATATATGGCAGTTGTAGTGAATCCTTCTTAGGAGATGATTCATGATTGACTGAATGCTACGCTCGTAAGTCTAATTATGCAGTTGGACGAATAGAGAGACACTATCCCTCGTTACTCACAAACACAATGTAGCTTGACAAACAAAATCGCAGTAGCGGGAAATCCACTCATAAGTGGCATCGTAAAATCTCCGTACTGTGCTACATTCCCTTATCTTGAGTAATGTATATCAATAGCAAGGACCTGGAACCTAAGAGCATATATGTGCAGATATTGCGAATTATCTCACAGGTCAACAACAACAGTCCCTAGTAAATACATGGCAAGGTTCCAGTCCCAGCCTAAACTGTACGCATTGCGAGCTTGATCGGAGAAGAGGGGAGGTTGTAGATCGGACTTTGGCATGCATACATGCACCACTCGGATTAATGAGCGGGCAGGGTCGTGCTAGTACTTCATGTTCTATTCTTCTACATAGCAGCGAATTCAGTAAAAGGTTTTTAGATCCTGTCATAGCCCATTTAGTAGGGGCCGAACTGCAAATCCTCGTATAGAACACGACGATAGATGTACTTATTAGTCTACTAATGGAGAGATAACCACAGAACAATTAGACATAAAGGTTAACTACGTAACTACGTCAGTTGATTCTCAACTGGCCCTTTCAGTACGATATTGTTAGACTAAAGAGTCTACGGCCAATAAAGCCTTGACCTCTGGCCCTTGCTATCGTCCGCCAATCGCGAGAAGATGGCTACCCCCGGGACTGGCCCCGGAGACGTTCAATAGTCCTCATGATAAATACTTTCCAATCTATAGACGTTTGTCCAATGACAGCCCCTTATGCAAGGCTCTTCTGAAATCACCAATGATTGGATTAGTACCAGCTTAGGTACAACCTACGCGAACTTCGATAGTAATCATGTGTAGAGTTACCAAACTCAAAGCTAGCCAGCCAGTAGACCCCTATATGACCCACCATAGTCTAGGACAAGAAATTCGCCTCTAGTAAAGCACACTGCATGATACTAGCATCAAAGTTGTCTCCCGCTCCTCTCCTCGCGACTAGGCCTCCCTCATCTAACGGAGTACTATCTTTTCATTTCGTTGTTAATAATTTGGATCCTCTTAACGTTACAACGTACATTAGTACTTAGTACTAACCGCTCCAGCTGAACCTTTCGACATGATCATACTTCGCCCATGAAAATTATTCTTCTCATTACAAGAAAACGCGACTCCTAGTCTTTGCGCACGATGACATCGAGCGCTACTACCTAAAGCATAACATAACGGCACGAAATCGCCCAGAGAAAAATTTACGATCCGATACTTTGGAGAATGTACCCTAGATCTCAGGTGCGAAAGAGGAACGTACAATGCTTATGATTTAAGCCTTGGGTAACACGATCTAAGACAGTGCTATAGAAAATCTACAAGGACTTATCCATCTAGTGTCTATCTCTGTAAAGAAAACAGAATGAGTTAGCGGAGCAATATAACGAGAGATGTAACATCTAGGCGAAAGATATGCAAGAATTGGAATGAAGATACAGAAGAGGTAGTTTTTAAGAGAATGAGCTGAAATCTCTCGATTAAGGATCGACGGGAAGAACCCAAAGCCGATGGTAGACATAAACTCTACCACATGCGAAGCATAATGACGAATCAGTACCTGAGCATGGATGACTTCTTATGTAATCCTTCGATAAGAACGCAATACCACTTATCTACGGAGAAGATAGTAGCATCTAAAGGTATGTTAGGCTTTTGTTAAGAAGATACATACATTAGTCTACATATGTAGGTACGAACGAGTCTTACGTGATCACACTATCTACGTTACTATTAAGGTACAGGTATTGTTAGCGTTACATTTGGGCTCCATCGATCCGCTATACAACGACCTCGTTCTTATTAATACCGTAGTGGCTAGTAGTAGAGGCCTTTAGTGCTGTAGATTATTATTGAAAGTCCTATATCGCGGTAGATAGAGCATGCAATAGACTACGAGCTCATATTACTTTACGTATAAGCTAAGCTACCAGCGTTAACATTACTATCTCTTTATATATATACGGTAGAGCTAGTGGAAGAAGGCTAAGGGTACAAAAGTTACTAAAGAATCAGGTCGCGGAATTAGCGATGGAATGCCTCCTATAGTATAGAGCTACTAGCATTAATTCCTTAAGTAGCAAAGATAAACGAAGGAATAATAGCAAAGGAAGGATAGTATATATACCTGTTACTAATCTTCATTACTACTTTAACGTAAAACAGATTATTATCAAGGTATAGATAAGTTATTATCCGCATTTTTAGTCTCCTTTCTATCTATCTAGGTACTAGAGCGAAGTAGCCAACGTAATATACACCCTTCCCTTCTTGATTTAGGGTGAATATACTTCTTAACAAGGGTGTCCGCCACTAGATAGGGAAGCTATTATAAGTTCTTAGAGCGTAAATTTCATTTAAAGAAGAACAAAAGTAGAGGAGGAGTCACGGAGGAAAACTATATAAAAATCCAAGTAGATCTTACCGGGCATGCATTCTTAAGCTTACAAGGCTGTACCCGGTAGCATTAGAGGTAACTTAGATAAGCCGGGTAGCCCTCCCACGTACGAGTGGGTAGTAAACATGTTACTATCTAAAATAAGGCTGAAGGTAGCGCATGAGGTCTAGGGGACGCATGTACTTACTTTGTTATTAAATCGGAGCTTGTGTTTCATTTGCTTCTAGGCGAAACACATATGATTGTGCTAGCAAAACAATATCATGAAATCGTGCCCGTCCGCTGGATATCCACATACATAAAGAAGTTCTAGGAACACAGGGATTGGAATGATAGGGATGGCTCGAAAACATGTTTGTATTATTGAGTCTTATGCCTAATTGTAGCTTTCATTTTCAGCTACAATCAAACGCTATTATAATATAGATCTCGGGCGGTTGCAATATCAGAACGAAGTATACATTGTATTACTATTGCGCTCCGTCAATCTAAAGAAAGTAAGCAAAGCATGCCATCTATAATGATTTCTCAATTCCCTCAATCCGTGCCAATAGAATCTTATGCCACTTGTCAAATTCGCCCTTCCCCATTTGGCCTTTCAGCGGCAGTCTTCCACCTTTCAAATTGCCGAAACCAGCCACTCGGTACGTTGCCTCTTTGATGCCTATGATACCGAACTTACCAATGAACTCCTCCGCCCTGCTAACAGCAAATTGCAGCCTCTGGATTTCCTTGATAGTCTTTGCATCCGTCCCGTTCTTCTCCACAAGATCGAACAGCCGCGACACAGTCTTTGGATAGACAGATGACAAGCCATCAATGACGCCTGCAGCGCCGAAGAACACTATGGGACCGAGCTGTTGGCCGAAGCCACTGTAGACACGGAACTTACTATGGTCGATGTCTGGGTCGAGAGAGACTTGGACGTGATGTGAAACATTTCCGTGGCTCCTTCAGGGGATCAGTATCTGGCCCGATTTGAGTGAATGTGGCTCGAGGCTTACATTTTACAGCCTACGATATTTGGGTGCTGTGCAAGCTCGGTATATGTGAGGGGATCAACCATAACATTGTTCGTGACGCCAGGATAATTATATCTTGTGAACCATGTTAGCGAGAAACAACCAGTGCCCGAGACAATGTCCTGGGACATACATTAGAATCGGCAGCGGGCTCTTGTCGGCAACTAATGTAAACCACTCTTTAATGTTTTCCTGATTTGCCGAGACTCCGAAATATCCGGGCACGAGCACCAAGCCCCATTGGGCACCTGCTTTTGCGTAGTCGTCAAGCCATTCCAGTGTCTCGTCCACACCATTAGTGAGGACTCCAGCCATTATTGGATAGTCGTTGAAGCCCGCGTGGTCTAGTCCTTTACGTGTTCTAGACACGAGTTCTATTCTCTCTCCTTTGGTCAAGTGGATAGCTTCGCCAGTTGAACCCAGAAGAACGAGTCCCCTGATGCCGTTATTGGCGAGAAATATGCTGTGCTGGACTTGTGTGTCGATATCGACCTTTGCCTGGAGGCCATTACCAGATGATGTTGACGATTCTGTGAAGAAAGTGGGGACTGGGACGAACACACCAGTCGGTGGTATTTGTGCCATACTCGAGCCGTGTGAGATAAGATATTCCAAAGTGTGACATCCGTACGGACGACTTATAGGTGTTGACTACAAAGTTGAAATAGATGATATAAATACCTCTGTCGGCGTTTGAACTTCGGCATGGTTTCCGCCGATGAATGGATGGCCTACCCCGCTACACTACTCTGCCCCGCATGTCGACAGGGTTGGAGCGGCATTTGGGTCCGGAGCTGGATCGGAAACATTTTCGGAAAAGAAATCTTCATACCCATGGTGACTTGAACAATTGAGAACGTCACTTCTTGAGAACATTATATTGCCATCATGGGGAAAATCGCGACTATGGAGTATTTTCGAGTTCCGCCGCGCTGGCTATTCGTGAAAATCACTGATGAGAGGAGAAACGTTGGCTGGGGAGAAGCTTCATTGGAAGGTCATACACAGGCTGTTGAGGGATGTTTAGATGCATGGTTCGATCGATACATGGGACTTGATGCTGAGTATGCTGATTACGTCGTCTACATGTAGCCTGTATGTTTACTAATGCTTTGAAGTGACATTGAGCACATTTGGCAGATGTCCTGGCGTACAACTTTCTACCGAGGTGGACCTGTATTCATGAGTGCGCTAGCTGGTATCGACATTGCTCTATGGGATCTCAAAGGTTCGTTCTGAGGTAAATGTACCTACTTATCCTGAGGGTGACATGATCCAGCACGAAAGTTAGGCGTGCCGATATACCAATTACTCGGAGGAAGGGTTCGCGACAAACTGAAGGTATATGCATGGATAGGCGGCGACCGACCTGGAGACGTCGGCATTCAAGCGTAAGAATGAAGATGTTCAGTGCCGGAGACTGACTGACGAAGGAGACTGTTAGACAAGCACGCAAAGACCAAGGGTTCACAGCAGTAAAAATGAACGCCACAGAGGACCTGGGTTGGTTGGATTCCCCATCAGCCTTAGATAACAGCGTTGAGCGCTTGAAGGCTGTAAAGGCACTCGGCATGGACGCTGGCATCGACTTCCATGGTCGAGTTCACAAGCCTATGGCAAAGCAACTCGCTCATGCCCTCGAGCCGCACCGCCCGCTGTTCATCGAGGAGCCCCTACTCTCGGAACATATCCACGGCATCAAAGCATTGTCGAAGCAGACGAGCACTCCAATTGCACTTGGTGAGCGTCTGCACAGCCGTTGGGATGTACGCCCGTTCCTGGAAGCTGGCTGTGTTGATATACTGCAACCAGATATCTCACATGTGGGAGGAATATCGGAAATGAGACGCATAGCAGCAATGTGTGAAGCATACGACGTGTCCCTCGCCCCTCATTGTCCACTTGGGCCAATTGCATTGGCTGCAAACATCCAGGTGGACGCGGTGAGTGCAAACTTTGCCATCCAGGAGATGAGCCTGGGTATCCATTACAATGCCGGTAGCCAAGATCTGACAAGCTATACGAAGAATCCTAAGGTATGGGACGTGGAGGGTGGATACATCAACTTGTTAACAGGACCCGGGTTGGGGATTGAAATCGACGAGGAGCAGGTGCGAAGTCTGTCCAAAAAAGCAATGCCATGGCTAAGCCCAGGCTTCATCGGTCCCGGTGGAGAAATTCGTGAATGGTGAAGACTGAGTAGGGGTAAGCAGGAACGACGTGTCGAGTGTGGGAACTTTGGTAAATTAGACGTGGTAAAATTGATTAACGTGTCTACTAAGTCTATCTGTTCCTATAGAATCATAAAAAGATATAACGTTTTATCTAGCGCCCGCTAGCGCCCTCACTAAAACCACGACTAAAAAACCACTTTTTATAATATAATAAATTAACTATAATCTTAATTAAAAATCTATTCTAATAAATTATACTTCTAGCTATACTAAGTAATTCTATATACTTTCTATAACTTATAGACGCGGTATTATAGATAAGTTCTAGTTATAAGCCTCTAGTATCGCGTTTAGTAGTAGGTAAAAAATCTATAGCTCTTAGCGGCGTGGACTATTAATTTTCTAGTATATCTAAGACTTATTATTATTATCTTTTTCTCTTCTATTCTCTCTTCTATTCTCTCTTCTATTCTCTCTTCTATTCTTTCTTCTATTCTCTCTCTATAATATATTATTATACTACTATAAATAAAGAAAAAGAGTCTAAAGATTTAAAATATATAATAGTAGTAGTAATATATATTACTCTCTCTACTAGTCTCTCTTAGTAGTACTAGTTCTATAATAGATTAGAATACTCTATACTAATTTCTATATATATTCTTCTAAGTAGTTTCTTTATAGCTAGATATATACTAACTCCTTCTTTCTAGTCCTCTATAATATTAAACTATTATCCCCTTTACACCCTATTCTCTATAATAGTTATATCTTAAGAGCTAGAGCTACTAATATTATTACTAACTCTATAATACCTTCTAATTATTATTCTACTATATTATAAGTAATCTAAATACTCTCTAAATAACCCTATACTATACTAATAGTCTTATATATATACTATAGCGTACTCTCTTTAGTATATAGCTAGCTAGACCTTAATATATTTAAAAGCTAATTTAATTTAATCTATAATAGTTCTAGATAATAGATAGTTCTATAGATAGATTAGTAAGTATTATAATAGATAAATATCTACTAGATAATATATTTAGAACTTCTTTTATACTATAGTTAGAACTAATACTTACTCTATAATAGCTACCTTTAGTTATAGAAGAAGACTTCTCTCTAGACCTTCTATAGTAGATATTATAAAGTTATTTATATAGAGAGAGTTAAATTATTATAATATAGAAATCGCCGTCTTAATAATAGATACTATCTATCTCTTACTAGTAGTTATATTATAACTAGAACTCTTCCTTAGATACTCTCTAGTAAATACTATAAAGTTATTCTTAGATAGAGTATATTATAAGACTAGAGTTACTATCTTAGTAATATATACTCTATACTCTATACTAATAGTTATATTATAATTAGAAGTCTTTCTTAGACCCTCTCTAGTAGATACTATAATATTAATTCTAGATATACTAAATATCTATATATTAGCGTCGTAAAGTAGTAAATAATCGAGTACTATACTATATAATAGATATCTACTACTATAAATCTAGGCTAGCTACTCTATACGCCTATATTACCTACCCTATTATAAGTAACTTTTAGTATATTCTCTACTATCTAAGTATATTATATAGATTCTATAATATCTTCTTCTAGTATAAAGAGATTCTAGTAATAAGAGTAAATAGAGAGATTTAGATACCTTACTATAGTAATAGTAAAGTATAGATTCTAGTACTATCTAAATATCCCTCTATCTTATACTAGCTTCTCTTATAGATATAATAGATCTAGAATAGTACTACTATTTAGAACTATATAATAGAGAAGTTCTAATAGAGTATATAATACTATAACTAGTTAGTATTATTTATTTCTATAAAGATTAATAATTAAGAATAGTATACTATAGAATACTCTTCTAAGGTATAGCTATTAAGGTATATATTATAATAAACCTTTCTAGTAAGGACGTAGCTTATCCCTAAAGTAGTCCGTTATATAGAGTATTCTAGCTTTTCTAAAGATAAAGGTACTTAGAGAGCTTAGAAGAGTATAAGTAGGTTTATAATAAGTATTAATAGGGTATAAATAGTAACTAGCTAGTTAGCGAGTAAAGTAGTAATTATATTAGTATAAGTTTAAATTAATTACTATAGAACTATCTCTAGAGGTTAGGTTCGAAGGGTCTATATAGTTCTACTAAGGTCCTTTACTTAGAATACTTATTCTAAGCGTCTAGTACGTTACTTAGAATACTAATATTCTATTTCTAATTACTTAGTATATTACTTAGAATATCTATTCTAAGTATCTATGATTAGCTCTCTCTATAGCTATCTATCTTAGCCTTAGGCCGTTACCTAAGGCTACCTATAGTATTATAGACACCCCTTCTACGGGTTATACTATCTCTTATACTACTTATACTAGAGTCTATATATTCTTTAGTAATTATAGCTAGTAATTTATTATATAATACCTCTTCTAAGGTACTTCATTCTAAAGTACTTCTATAGTTACTTATAAGTAGAGGGTTATTCTAACTTCCTTTAGTAAGGAGCCCTTCTTCCTTTTCTTCTATTATATCTAGAGTTATAAAATTAGTTAAGTCTTCTAAGTCTAATCTAGTAAAATAGAGAGTTACTTTATCTATCTTAATTAATTATAAGAGTAATAAGATATCTTTCCCTTACTTATTTTATAAGAAATATAGTTTAACTTATAGTGCGGTATTTATAAAGTCCGATAAGTATTTAGAGTATATTTATTAAGATTATTTAGCGAGTAAGTATAGAATTAAGACTTTAAGTAAGTTATCTTATAAGTTTTCTTTTTTTTTATTAGAGCTAGTAAGTAATATTTCTAGATAAGAAGATTTATTCTAAAAAGACTTATCTTAAGCTAGAGAAAGAACGTACGGCTACTATCTAGCAAAAAGCTTAGTAGAACGCTTAGACTACCTTCGCGCATCTAGAGCGTTTAGAGAAATAGTAGAAGCTATTAGAGTATTATTAAAATAATATACTTTATTAGAATCTATTAGTAATAGACCTTAAGAAGAAGGAGGAGCGACTTAAATAATAATAGAGAGTTACCGTTAAGAAGGTTCCGAATCCTTCCTTAGAGTTTAATAATTCTTAGCTTAGTATAGAGGACTAGGTAAGTCTAGGTTTATTTAATAGAACTTCTATAATAGTTACTAGTAGTTTATTAAATATTTCCTAGGTTTCTAAGTATTTAATTTATGTCCGTATCCTTTCTACTTAATTAGATATTCTAGTATTTTATTACTAATTCTAGATTCTAGAATCTTTTTAACTTTAAATTCTTTATCTATAGCCTTAATATTAGTTTTAATCTTTATATTATATAGTACTAGTTCTAGTAATAAGATATAGAATACTAGGTATATCCTTATATTCTAAGGTAAAGATAGTTTATAATTAACTTCTAAAATTTTTTATTTTATTTAAAAAGGTCTAATTTTCTTAAAGTCTAGTTTACTATTTAGTTATTATATCTTAATATTTTTTTATATAAGGAATACTAGGTCTCCTCCTCTTAGAGATAGTTCCTTTATTCTTTTTTAATTTATATATTTTACTATTCTTTTATTTATAAAGGAAAGTTTAGTTTATAACTCTAAGTGTAGCTTATATAGTTATTCTACCTTAATCTTTACCTTTAGTACGGATTATTCTAGTTTATAATTATAGCTAGCTATAGGGTTAAATCTATAGTTCGCGTAGAATAGTAAGGTTTTAGTTATTAAGGTTATCGCGCTATTATAGATAAATTAAGCTAGTAGTAGTAGTTCTATCTAATTATCTTATTATTTATTAATATAGTATTATAGATATTATTCTAATATTCTATTTAGAATCTCTATTTATCTATCCGTCTATAGATAATAGACTATTAATAGTTAGTAATTTATTCTAAGCTATTATACTAGACTTTTCTAAAAGTTTAATATAAAGAGCTTATCTCTATTAGATATAATACTATTAGATAATCTATAGTTCGCTATAACTACTTATAGGAATATATAGGCTATTTCTTCTATATCTATATTCTTTTAGTATAGTATAAAGTAGATATACTTTATAAGTTTATCTACTACTACTAGTATAGCGTTATACTATACTCACGAAACTAGTTCTTTTAAGAGTAGTAGATCTATTATAAAGTCTATAGAGATTATTTTCTAAGTATATAATAGTAGAGGAATTAGTTAGAGTTCTCCGTATAGTTTATATCTATTAGATTAGCTTTTACTATATAGAATATAGTCTTATATTACTTTCTTAATAACTTATCTTTCCTTATAAGTCGTATAGTATCTCTTAAATCTCTTATAAGTTTTTATTTCTTCTTAATATCTATATATTAGATCTTTATAGAAGTCTTTAATAAAATAGTAGACCTTATCTCTAGGGATTATGCTTCTTCTCTCGGGGTTCTTAAGTATAAATTCTTTTTATATAGCTATAATATATTATATTAGCCTAAGGTTCCCGTCTTTAGTAACCTCTAGTATAGCTTATTCTATAGTAGGTTCTTTTTATTCGTATTCCGCTTATTAGCTAAGAGTATTAGCTCTTCCGTTTTCGGATTCTTTATAGTATATAATCTAGATATTAAATTCTATAAGAAGCTTATACTAACTAATTTATTTCTTTCGGAGTTCCTTTATTATAGTAAAGGTAGTTAGGTTCTTATAGTTAGTATATACTTTTATTATATAGCCTAATCTATAGAGGTAGCTTCTCTATTTCTTAAGGTATTTAATAATAGTATAGAGTTCTTTTTTATAGATTAGCTAGTTTATTTCTAATTCTTAGAACTTTCGGGAGTAAAATACTATAGAATATCTTTTCTCTTATTTATCTATTTAGATTAACTACCCTCTAATAGCGAATTCTAATATATCTATCTCTACTTCGTAGAGTTTCTCTATTTAATATATCTTTAATATTAGTTTAGTTATAATAGAGTCTTTTAGCTATTAAAATACTTATTTCTATCTTAGTCTCTATTTAAATATTGTATTCTTCTTTATAAGCTCGTATAGTAGGGCTATTTTTATAGAATAGTTATATATAAATTTTCTATAAAAGTTTATAAATCTAGTAAATCCTTAGATTTCCTTAACTATTTTAGATTACTTCTAATTTTTAATAGCCTTAATTTTCT